ATACCCGCCTACAATACAAGTCCTAGTATTGAAGATTATGCACAATGGGCCCCTCGCAGGCCATCCGGGAATGAACAAGACTCGAGAATTGATCAACAGATATTTCTGGTGGCCGAAAATGCTAGAGACAATCCGGGAATACGTTAAATCTTGCGAAGTGTGTGCCACATCCAAACACGAGAGAAAATCACCTTACGGATTACTAGCAAGTCTTTCCATTCCTGATAAACCTTGGGAGTCTATTTCTCTGGATTTCATTGTAGACCTTCCTCCATCCAACAACCACAACACCATTCTAGTCGCAGTAGACTACCTAACCAAGATGGCGCATTTCGTCCTCCTCATAAAACTCCCAGACGCAAGAGAGACCGCTGAAGCTGTCATCGCACACAGCATCAGGTTACACGGGATCCCGAAATTAATTACCACGGACCGAGGTAGCCAGTTCATCTCCAAGTTCTGGAAAGCCTTATGCAAAAAACTGCACATCGCGTCTCGACAGCTTACCATCCTCAGACAAATGGACAAACAGAAAGAGCAAACCAGTGCTTGGAGCAATACATCCAGTGTTTCTGTACACATCTCCAGGACGACTGGATCGAGTCCTACCTATGGCGGAGTTCTCCCACAACAACTCTCTCAACTCCACCACCAACAAAACCCCCTTCTTCGCAAACTATGGGTTCCACCCAAACCACTTCCCTCCGCACATGATTCCAACAAATAACCCATCAACGGAGGACTTCTTGCTCCGTATCAAACAGAACTTTGAACTGCTCAAAACCGAGATCCAACGATCCCAGTTGCAGCAAAAACGCTACTATGACCTCAGGAGGAGGACCCCTCCCGATTACTTGGCAGGTGATTTAGTCTGGCTATCCATGAGAAACCTTACTCAGGGCACCCCCTCCAAGAAGTTCAGCAAGCTCTTCATAGGTTCATTCCCTGTGAAGGAGAAAATTAATCAAAACGCCATCCGGCTCAACCTACCGCACCACTTAAGCACTTGAAGTCTGTGGTGTTAAACCCCCTTCCCACCCAGGCCATTTTTCATTATTCAGCGCTGCGGTACTTTGACTGACATTTATTCTGTCATGCAACGCTGTACTGAAATTAATTTTATACAATTTTTTGGGGACAGATAGAGCTTTCTTTTGGTGGTATTTAATCACCACTGGAGGTTTCTATTTTTTTATATATTAAGGAAAAATTACAGAAAATAAAAAAAAACTGTTTCCCCTATATTAAATTCTAAAACATTTATTATTACCCAATTTTTTGGTAAAATATAAAAGAAACCTAAAAAAACGACATTACCCAAAATTGGCCATAGGCCAATGATTGCTCTCGCTTCGACGTTCACGGCGATATGTAACATGTGTAGCGCAATTGTCTTTTTTGCGCGCTGGTGCACCAGACGCGTATTTACGCTTATATGTGCGTAAACGAAGGGGGGGGGACTTAAACATTTTGGGG